GAGTCTGAGGCCAGGAGTTCAAGACCAGCCTGGCCAACATGGTGAAACCCCATCTCTACTAAAAATACAAAAATTAGCTGGGCATGGTGGTGCATGCCTGTAATCCCAGCTACTCAAGCTAAGGCATGAGAATTGCTTGAGCCTGGGAGGTGGAGGTTGCAGTGAGCTGAGATCACGCCACTGCACTCCAGCCTGGGCAGCAGAGTGAAACCCTGTCTCAAAAAAAATAAAACATAAGGCCAGGCACGGTGACTCACATCTGTAATCCTAGCACTTTGGGAGGCTGAGGCAGGCGGATCACTTGAGGTCAGGAGTTTGAGACTAGCTTGGCCAACGTGGTGAAACCCTGTCTCTACAAAAAATACAAAAATTAGCCGGGCATGGTGGTGGGTGCCTGTAATCCCAGCTACTTGGGAGGCTGAGGCAGGAGAATCGCTTGAACGCAGGAGGCGGAGGTTGCAGTGAGCTGACATTGTGCCACTGCACTCCACTCCAGCCAGGGCAACAGAGCGAGACTCTGTCTCAAAAATAAATAAATAAATAAAGTAAAATAAAAATAATAGTAATAAAATAGTAAATAACTAAAGCAATTTAACCCTATTCCCTTCAACACCTTCTTCTCTATATGACTTGCTTCAGATGCAGGCAGTGCCTGGGTTCCTGAGAGGCCAGGGAAGAGGCCCAGCTCCAGCTGGGTGGTTTCTAGTGGCAGAGCTGCTTATGTAGGAGAGGAGTCTGTTCTTCCTGCAGCTCTCAACATTGTCTGGCTCCCTGAGGAGTAAAAGCTGCCGGGAGGGAGAGTCTGTTCCGTAGCAAAATCCTCTGAATACTGTGATGTGATTCTTAGCTGAGCCCTGGGAGTTTTTTTTTTGCCTGTGAGATAAAAGAGGTGATAGTATCCTTATTTGCCTTCCTGGTGCTGGTAATAATCCCAATCGTAGTTAATTGAGGCAGGCATCTGCTAAATTTTCTAGTGAGGTCTGAGACACTATATGTGGGAGAATGTCTGAACTGTATTTCCCCTGAAAGTTTTGAAAAGTGGACTTCTGTGAGCTTTCAGTGACTTAAAAGTCTGTGGAATAGAGGGAGAGGAAAGGATGTACCAACCATAGAGACTGAGAAAAAGAAGTTGATTGTTTAAGATGATTGAGGCTATCACATGAGTTTCTAAGCAGACCTAAAAAGTAGTGGTCCCAGTTGAATCAGTGACCCTCTGATGAGAGTGCCCTATGAAGGCGTGGCAGGGAATGATTAAAGCTTCCTTCTTATTATTCCCGTGCAACTCACAGTTGCGAGTAGAGACATATCCACATGGGCAGCCGTGCTGGGTCTACTGCTCAGAGGGCACTACCTAATTTTGGGAGAGAGCATAGTGAAAGAGTTGCCACCTTCTTACCAATACCAAGCTCAAGCTGCATCAGGGATATTAAATTCAGGAATGAACTTGCTTGGCAGAGTTGGCAGAAAGAAACAGAAATAGCCTTTTTTGGTGTTCTCTGAGAACAGAAGAGTCCCCCATCCATCTTTCTGCAAAACTTTAGTGGTGACTGCTGGGAGGCAGGAAGCTGGACTGTATGATAATGGGCAGTGAAAAGTAACCTTGGGCTGGGTGTGGTGTCTCATGCCTGTAATCCTAGCACTTTGGGAGGCTGATGCGGGCGAATCACGAGGTCAGGAGATCAAGACCATCCTGGCTAACACGGTGAAACCCTGCCTCTACTAAAAATACAAAAAATTAGCCAGACGTGGTGGCGGGCATCTGTAGTCCCAGCTACTTGTGAGGCTGAGGCAGGAGAATGGCGTGAACCCAGAAGGCGGAGCTTGCAGTGAGTCAAGATTGCGCCACTGCACTCCAGCCTGGGCGGCAGAGCAAGACTCCGTCTCAAAAAAAAAGTAACCTTAACATTTCAGAGGTACAAGAATAGACACTGGAAGGGTGGTGGTGGAAAACTGCCTCCCAGAGGGACTAAAGAATCTCTAGGCCTCCTTATTCCACCTACCCAAAGTATTTGCATCCAGCGTCACCAGTATTGAAGGTGATGTCACTAATATTTGGAAATTACCTGTATTCCAACTCTACAAAATTCTTCCTCTTGCTCATGCTCTTGAGTGTGTCTTAGACTCACTCTATTAGCATTTTTGTGAAGAGACCTCTGAGTCCTTTGTTAGCTATAGTCAGATTCTGGAGCCAGGTTGATCTGATGGAATTTCCCCCTGTTCTGCACTGATTCCAGATTTGGTGAGGCCCTGAAGGATTGCTCTTGCAGAGCAGTGTCTTTGGTCAGCAGTGTTCCTTCACTGAACTTCCAACAGTTTCTCTAGAGGAGGTGTTCTTTGTTTTGTGACTCCTGTTCCTCCCTGTTCTTTGGAAGGCCTAGATCTATAAGTCCTAGCCTGATTTCTTTTTGCCTTTTCACAGCCCCTCCAGTTGTTAGAATGTTTGTATGACAGTGGGGGGAGTGGTATTGGGGCAGAGAAAGCTGTCATAATGTCATAAGTATTTTTGGAAGATTCTCAAACAGTTGGAACTCTTTGCTTCCCTCATAGAACAATATAAGTTCTATGTTACACACACACTGGTTAGTAATCTTTTAGGTGATGAGGATTCAACTAGCATTACTTTTTCTTTTTGTCTTTTTTTTTTTTTGAGACAGAGTCTTGCTGGTCTTGAACTCTTGACCTCAAAGTGATCCACCCACCTCGGCCACCCAGTGTACTGGGATTACAGGCATGAGCCACTGCCCCCAGCCTCAACTAGCATTTATTGAGTACTATTATGTACCAAAGACTGTGCTAGATTCATTCGTACACGTGATGGTATTTGTTCCACACAGCAACAATGAGAAGGCAGTGTTTTTTCCCAATTTGCAGTTGAGGATACATGGCTTGCATAAGTTGCACATTTCTAAAAGGCTGAATGAGGATTTTGAACCGCAGCCTATTTGCCTTCAAGTCCAGAGCTCTTTCCATTATATGTCAGCAGCCACAGCACTGGAGAAAGAGGGTGTGATGTCATGACGTCAGACAACCAGAGAAATGGCACAGCTTCTTCAGGGTTGATGATAGTTGTTTTAGAGCTGCCTTCTTCTAAGTGAAGCCTGGCATGATATTTGCTGGCCTTTATTTTCTGGGAGCTTTGAGTTTAAAAGGAAAGGTAAAAAATACCTGTAACTAGAAAAATATATAAATACTTTAATTTTTTTTTTTTTTTTTTGAGACAGAGTCTTACTCTGTCTCTAGGCTGGAGTGCAATGGCGCAGTCTCGGCTCACTGCAACCTCCACCTCCCAGGTTCAAGTGATTCTCTGGCCTCAACCTCCCGAGTAGCTGGGATTAGAGGCACCCACCACCACACCTGGCTAATTTTTGTATTTTTGTAGAGACGGGGTTTCACCATGTTCGCCAGGATGGTCTCGATCTCTTGACCTTGTGATCTGCCCACCTCAGCCTCCCAAAGTGCTGGGATTACAGGTGTGAGCCACCACGCCCAGCCAAGATTTTAATATTAAATAAAGATGGCTGGGCATGGTGTTTCACGCCTGTAATCCTAGTGCTTTGGGATTCTGAGGTGGGAGAATTGTTTGAGGCCGGGAGTTCAAAGCTAGCCTGGGCAACACAGCAAGACCCCATCTGTACACAAAATTTTTTTTTTTAATTAGCTGAGCATGATGGCACACACCTGTAGTCCTAGCTACTCAGGAGGCTAAGGCAGGAGGATGCCTTGAGCCTAGGAGTTCAAGGTTACAGTGAGCTATGATCACGCCACTGCACTCCAGCCTGGGCAACAGAGCAAGGCTTGTCTCTAAAACAAAAATAAAGGTTCGAGATGCACAGGACCTGTGTGTAGAATGTTATATGAGTAATGAAATATAGTCTAAAGAGGAAAAGAAAAAGGTTATAGCAGGCATTTAAAGGGAGACAGGAAGAGCAAGCGGATAGAAAAGTATTTGAAGAGTTAGGGAACAAGGGAATAACACCTGAATTGCTTCTCAGTCTACCCGAAGAATCTGTAAATCACCAGGCATGGTGGCTTGTGCCTGTAATTCCAACACTTTAGGAGGCTGAGGAGGGAGGATTGCTTGAGCTCAGTTCAAGACCAGCCTGGGCAACATAGTGAGACCTGTCTCTACAGAAAAATTTAAAAAATTAAGCAGGCATGGTGGCACATGTGTATAGTCCTGGATACTTGGGAAGCTGAGGTGGGAGGATTGCTTGAGCCCAGAAAATCAAGGCTACAGGGAGCTCTGATCGTGCCACTGCACTCCAGCCTGGGCAGCAGAGCAAGACCTTGTCTCAAAAACAATAAGATTAAAAATTTTAAAAATAAGCCAAGCATGGTGGTGTGCACCTACTTGGGAGGCTGAGGTGGGAGGCTTGCTTGAGCCCAGGGGTCAAAGTTGCAATGAGCCCAGATTGTGCAACTGCCCTCCAGCCTGGGTAACAGAGCAAGACCTTGGCTCAAGAAAAAAAAAAAGAATTTGTAAATCTATATAAATACAACCTATACAAAACAACATTTCACATATATAAGCTAAGAACAGAGGCTAAGCTGAGTAACTAAGTACAGGAGGAATGATGAGTAATGTAATCAGAAGTGGAAGTAGTCAGGAAAGCTTCCTAGGAGATGTCTTCTTATCTGATTTTGAAGGAGTCCAGGAAGACAAAAAGAGGAGGTGCCTGGGAAGGTGTCATAGCAAAGGGAAGACCTGAGGATGGTACCACTAACCAGTGTGTGTATGTATCTCCCTTTCTGTTCTTTTCTCCCTCCCTCTTCCTGTAGCTTGGAAGCTCGAAGTCTGGCTGTGGCCATGGGAGATACAGTAGTGGAGCCTGCCCCCCTGAAGCCAACTTCTGAGCCCACTTCTGGCCCACCAGGGAATAATGGGGGGTCCCTGCTAAGTGTCATCACGGAGGGGGTCGGGGAATTATCAGTGATTGATCCTGAGGTGGCCCAGAAGGCCTGCCAGGAGGTGTTGGAGAAGGTCAAGCTTTGGCATGGAGGCGTGGCAGTCTCTAGCAGAGGCACCCCACTGGAGTTGGTCAATGGGGATGGTGTGGACAGTGAGATCCGTTGCCTAGATGATCCACCTGCCCAGATCAGGGAGGAGGAAGATGAGATGGGGGCCACAGTGGCCTCAGGCACAGCCAAAGGAGCAAGAAGACGGCGGCAGAACAACTCAGCTAAACAGTCTTGGCTCCTGAGGCTGTTTGAGTCAAAACTGTTTGACATCTCCATGGCCATTTCATACCTGTATAACTCCAAGGAGCCTGGAGTACAAGCCTACATCGGCAACCGGCTCTTCTGCTTTCGCAATGAGGACGTGGACTTCTATCTACCCCAGTTGCTTAACATGTACATCCACATGGATGAGGACGTGGGTGATGCCATTAAGCCCTACATAGTCCACCGTTGCCGCCAGAGCATTAACTTTTCCCTCCAGTGTGCCCTGTTGCTTGGGGCCTACTCTTCAGACATGCACATTTCCACTCAGCGACACTCCCGTGGGACCAAGCTACGGAAGCTGATCCTTTCAGATGAGCTAAAGCCAGCTCACAGGAAGAGGGAGCTGCCCTCCTTGAGCCCGGCCCCTGACACAGGGCTGTCTCCCTCCAAAAGGACTCACCAGCGCTCTAAGTCAGATGCCACTGCCAGCATAAGTCTCAGCAGCAACTTGAAACGAACAGCCAGCAACCCTAAAGTGGAGAATGAGGATGAGGTAAAATTCTGGGGAGGGCCAGAGACAAAAGGTGGCAGAGGGCTTCATGGAGACAGGATGCCTTCTATATACACACAGGGTTATGCTGTTCTTTCTGTCCTCCCTCTGTTTCATTTCACTGATAAAAGCATGGAATGTTAAAATGGAAAGACCTTAGAATTCATGTATTTTGACTGCCTTAGTTTACAAAGGAAGAACTGAGACCCAGAGAGAGAAAAGTGAGTTGCCTCAGGTCATATAGGTAATGGCAAGGCTGATGCTCCTGATGGTGCCCCAAATCATTTTTATTAAACTGCACTGGCCAGGCGCGGTGGCTCACGCCTGTAATCCCAGCACTTTGGGAGGCTGAGGCAGGCAGATCACAAGGTCAGGAGTTTGAGACCAGCCTGGCCAACATGGCAAAATCCCGCCTCTACTAAAAATACAAAAATTAGCCAGGCATGGTGGCGGGTGCCTGTAATCCCAGCTACTTGGGAGACTGAGACAGGATAATCCCTTGAACCCAGGAGGCAGAGGTTGTAATGAGCAGAGATCGCGCCACTGCACTCCAGCCTGGGCGACAGAGTGAGACTCCGTCTCGAATGAATAAACAAACAAACTGCCATTCCATTAACACCTACTGTGTTAATGAGAACTGTGGCAGAAGCCCTCCACACCCTGACCTGAGACTTGAGATAGCTACCAGAGCCTGTCAGAGAAGCATCTGTGGGAAAGGAAAGGGTGCTATTGTCTTTGTGTGTGCTGGGGTAGGGGAGATGTTAGATAAAATATCAACTTCATTCTCCTGGCCACTCCTACTCACAATCTAATCCCTTTTCACTACCCCCTGAAGATCCTACCTTTTGTTGACATAAGTGTAAGGTTCATTCTCTATCACTGAGGTATCTGGAGAATGCCTTTATTGCCTGCCTTTCCTTGTGGGAAAGAGTGCCTTGCTGGTATCTTTCCCGTACTGTTTGGGAGAAGCACAAAGGGAAGAGAAAGCACTCTTAGTATAAAGTAAATCTAGTGCCTAGTCAAGGACCTGGAGGCTGGGAAAAAGAGGAAGCTACAACAGCAGTTGGAGGTATAATTTAGGATACAGGGCAGGGAAGAGATGGCCACATGAATAGGTTATACCCACTTTTCACTCCACATCTGGACGGATAGCAGAGAAAGCTGCCCAGTGAACTACCAAGTGTCAGTGACCTGGTGTCCCAGCCAGACAATGGTGCTCCAGTCCTCCTCTCTGACTCACCATTGGCCAGGCTCCCATCCTGGCTTCCAGCCCAGCCTAGACAAGAAGGGAGAAAAAAAGTAGGAATTTGCACTTTTTGAAAAATGCATATAGCTATGGTCCTGGCATCTGCCTCTGTGGGACATATAACCCACCCACGTTTTTGATACAATGGGACTTCTTTCAAATAGAGGGAAGTCAGAGTGACTAGAGAAAAGGAAGAGGGAGGGAAACTATAGAGCCTGCTCTCTGGAAATTTGGAATTTTGTTAGGATAATTTAATAATGGTAAAGTTAAAAGTGCTAACATTTATTCAGCACTTATGTGACAGGCATCTTGCCAAGTACTTTACATTTAATCCTCACAACCATGCTGAGAGACAGGTATTATTTTACCAACGAGGAAACTGAGGCTTAGAAAGATTAGATGTTTTGCCCAAGGTCCCTCAACTAGTGAATGTCAGACCAGGACTCAAATCTCTAGCTGGTGCTCATAATCATTCAGCTGAACTGCCTTGGTTATTTCTCGATATGTACTTCCCGAGGTCCCCAGCTGTCAGAAGCCATGTGGAGAAGAACGGCCCAGTCTATGGCCATCGAAGCTTCCACATCCATGCACAGGCAAAGCCAAAACTGTTGTCAGAGCTAGAATGGACCATTTTCATTTCTGGTTGAGCTTGGCAGCAGAGCCCTGGGTCATGAAGGGAAGTTGCTGCAGAACAAGAAGAGTCATCCAGATTCTGGTGGAACATGAAGGGTTGGATAGCTGTCCCATCTTGGGGTCAAACCTGTAGCAGAGGGTGAGCAGCTGGAAGTGAATTCCTTGGTGCCTCTTGTCAGGCTTGGCTTTTCTCTGTATCCATTTTGTAGTGCTCGTCTTAGGACCAGAAAAGCTGAGGCCTTAGGACTTTTCTTACTCTGCTGATCCTTGGTCCCTCTTTCCTTGCATCTAACTCCCACTCCAGGATAGGATTATGGATGGCACTGAGAGTCAGGTATTAGGTGAATACTTATATCATTTAGGGTGGGTTCTGTAGCTGCCATTCTTTCCAACCTGACTCCTTATCTTGGGTCACTAGATGCAGGAAAGGAAGGAGATACTATGTTCCCAGGCACTCCAGCGTTATCTGATACTGACGGAATGAAATACCTGAATTCACTATGGCTCCTCAGAAAATGGGAGAGCAAGAAAGAGATAGAGAGAAACATGAATATCACTAGGTTTCTAAGCATTAGAGTCTTCAGCACAGGGGTCTCTCCCAACCCTTTTCCTTCCTTCCGTCTGTCCGTCCTTCCGTCCTTCCTTTTGCCCACCCGTCCATCTGTCTGTCCGCCCTTTTTGTTGCAACAGGGTCTTGCTCTGTTGCCCAGGCTGGTGTGCAATGGCACAGTCATAACTCACTGTAGCCTTTAACTCCTGGGCTCAAACAGTCCTCCCACCTTAACCTCCCAAGTATCTGGGGCTACAGCTGTATACCACCACATCTGGCTAATTAAAAAAATATTTTTGTAAAGATGAGGTCTTGCTGTGTTGCCCAAGCTAGTCTCAAACTCCTGGCTTTAAGTGATCCTCTCGCCTCAGCCTCCCAAGTCACTGGGATTACAGGCATGAGTGACTAGACCCAGCCCCTTTGGCATTTTGAGGATATGTCTGTCAAGGCCTTTGTCCCCTAAATACCAAAGGAATTGGTTTTCCGTTTACTCCTCCTTCTTCCCTTTCATGTAACATTCATTCACTCAACATGTAGTTATTGACCTTGTACAGTGTGCAAAGCCATGTGCTAGAGGCTGTGGAGGATGGGGGATAAAATGTTATCCTCCCCTCTAGGAACATGTAAAGTAATAATGAAAACCTCAGTATCTAGGAAACTGTTTAGTTTGTGACTCTCTTGAAAAAATTGTTTTCTGCCATAAGCAGGAAGTATACAGCTTACTAAAATGAGGCACATAATTAACGCCTGAGTAGAGATACTTTAGGAGAATCTCTAGGTAGACCCTAACACTCTGCTTCCAGTCTCTTGCTTTCCTTTTAGGTTCTGAGTTTAATACTATGCTCCCACCAGCGGTAGAGGAGCTCCCAAGGGTGAGGTCGGGCCTCAAAGAAGAGGCTCAGGGTCAGCATGTACAGTTCTCTTCCTGCCCATGGTCTCCCTGCAGAGCTGTTCTCTGCTCAGCTCTCACAGTGTTCTCTTTCTTACTATGAGGAATCCTTTACACTCTCTCCCACAGTCAGAAGGCTTTGCGCTGATTTTTCACATTTTCCACCATTGCTCCTCAAAGCCTGCCCCTTCAAAGCCATTTTGTCAGCCTAGTTGGGGAACTCTGCTCAGGCAGTTTGTCCTCCCATTTGTAACCAAATGGCAAATATTTTGGTATAGAATGGGGGAGCTAAGAGGAGAGAGTGATTTAGGTACCACACCCTCCCCCACATAATGACACTGTTAGTAGATTAGCTTTGTCTTTTCAGAACTGCAACCTTTGTACAGAGAAATCTGCCACATGTCACACTGGAAGCCCCAGTAGGCCTTCTAACTTGATGTAGTGTGATGTCAGCTTCTTGCTTCATATTTACTCCCTGGAGCTGACTCAGTATGAGTGACTCAAGCCCAGGGAGTAGGAAGAGAGGAGCAGGTCATGATATACCTCCCTTCCCCCAGGGCTGTTAATGAGTCAGACAGGACCTGTCTGTGAGAATCAGCTGGAGCTTTGCCCAGGGAGCCAATATCCTGCCTGCTGTTCCTTCTTCAACCAGCTCATAGGTAGAAATAGAACCACTAAGTCATAATAGACTCTGACATCCTCACTGCCTTAATTCTCCCACCACCTTCTACCCAAAATGGAAGAGTTGTTGTGTTAGGGGCATGTTTCCAAGTGTGGCTTCTCCCTCAAAGTGCTCCAGTCCCCACATTCTTCAAGAAAGGACCTGAGTATAGGACCTCCAGCTAGAATAGAACTGAAACCATGGAATTGAGTTCAAGTGGATGCTTGAATCTACTCAGCAGATTTCAGAGTAGAAACTCACTGACCATTGCCCTCCTGCCCTGGGAGCTCTTAGGACTTTGTCTTTTAAGTCTAACACCCCAACACCAACGTCCTACCAACCTAGATTTGTGCACATGTGCTGCCCCGTTCCCTGCCCTGGTAGACCATGTTGGACAGAACCCAGGATGAACCCTGTGCATGAGTGTTTCCTCAGAGCTGCTGAGTGAGAGTTTGACACCATCTCTTTCCCCTGTTTTTCACACAGACACGTATGACACAGGAATGGGGTGATGTTTAGATAAATCCTCTGGGCTGGAACTAGGACAGCTGCTATCCAGCTAGTCAGCTTTCTAGATGGATATAGCTAGGACCTAACTCCCCAACTTATATCAAAAATCGTAATATATTGATTGTCATGTGGATAGCCTGATAGGAAGCCTAAGGAGTTTTGGTAGATAGGAGATTGATTTATCCTTCTCTCCCATCAGCATCCAGCCCAGAGATTTTGGGCTTATTGGTCTAGCATGCTCTTTGTCACACAGGTTCAAGGTTGGGATTCAGCTTCCCAGAGTGATAATGCGGCTAATTAGAGAAGAGGTATACCTGCCACTGAAAGTTTAGCTTTTCTTCCTCCCTGAGGTTTCCAAAAAGCTGGAGGAACATGGGGTTTCCAGTATGGGAGCCATGCAGCTTATTAAGTTCAGTCCTGTGGTGGTCCCCATGGAGAAGGATTTGGTTGAGAGCATCTGAGTGGGTAAAAAAAAAAGAGCAGGGAAGCTTGGCAGTGCAGTTACTGCCCTAGGGACCCAGTTTTAGAGCTTTGGCCTAGAAGGAAGATCCACTCAGTTGAGAATAGAAGGGAATAAAGTGAAAAGCAGAGGCTGCTTTGTCTCTTCAGTCCTTCTGACCTTAAAGTCTGAGCTGCCCTTCCAGCATCTCCCACAAGTGGTCAAGCATCTGGGCAAGTAGCGTTTCTGAGCTGACTTTCTTTTATTAAAGCAGAAAGGTAGAACTTCACTAGAGAAGCAGTTACGATCCAAGTTGGAGCTAAATTCTTTACCTTTGTCTCTCTCCCCTCCCTTCCCACCCCCTCCTTCTCCCTTTGCCCTCTGGCCCTTTCCCAGGAGCTCTCCTCCAGCACCGAGAGTATTGATAATTCATTCAGTTCCGTAAGTGGGGTCAGGCTGGGACTGGGTGGCAGGCTCCCCCAATGGCCGCATTTCCTCTCCGTCCCCAGGTCTTCTGAGCCCCCAGGCCAAGGCTGAAGTTAAAATGCCCCTTTTCTTCCTGGGAGATCAGCTCCTCCCTCCCAGACCTCCCAGATCTGCTCTCCCTGACCTTTGCGGTGGAAATCCTGAGCCCAGGCTGAGATGAGCTCAGCTGATCCTTCTCTCAGAGACAGCTGGAGTATAGTGCTGCTCAGCCCCCAGCTCCTGAGTGTCTGGAGCAAACAGCTGGGAGAGAGGTAGAATTCACTCCTGGATTGGAGCCAAAAACTGCCTAGCAGAAACCCCCAGGATCCTGTTTCTCCCACCCAGAACCCTTTCCCCATGGCTTCTGCCATGAGATTATCAACTATTTATTAATAATCTTCTAAATGTTAGGCCCTGTGCTGGTGAGCTGACTCCAAAAACAAATAGGACTTGGCTTGAAGGAAAGTTTTGCCTCCCCACAACTGGTTTTCTTTTTTAACTTCAACCACATTTTTTCCAGGTCTGAGTTCTTCCCTTTTTCCAGCTCACTGCCCAGGATGTTCCATAATCCCCTCTCCTTTCTTGTTCCCTCTGGACTAACCCATGACCCTTTGGTCCCACAGGGTCTTGGACCTTGTTGCTGGGCAAAGACGTGAGAGGAAATGCAGGACCTCTGGGAGTTTGGATGATTTTTTTTATATTTTCTATTTGATTTGTCTATCAAATCAGTTTTCTCTGTTCTGTGCTAATCCCCTTTCAGTCATGATTCCTATCTCCTCCCATGTGGCAAAGCCTCTCTCTTGAGGCCTGGGGTCACATTTCCAACATGCTCACGTAACTTAGGGGCCCCTAACCCAAATGCTGATTTGAGAATGGGAAGGAATTCTGCCTTTTCTAATCTGAGATGATTATGAATTGGTTGGGGTAGAGGGTCCTTGGGACAGAGATCAGTTGCCATCTGAGTGGATTCAGATGAAGGAAGAAGTGAGTCTTCAAATTTCCTCTTATTTTCTTTCTCTATTAAACGCCCAGGATATTTTCAGGGACCTTAGAAACCCAATTCCATTGTTTTCCTTTTCTTTTTCTCTTTTCAACAATGTCACCTAAAGCATTCCTGAAGGATTCAGATATCCTCTTTCATTCCCTATGTGGCACTCTGAGCCATCTCCCAAGAGGCAAAGGCCATGATGAGCTTTTCCTTTGAATCCTGGCACTGTTGCACGTGGAGAGGTAGATCTGATACTCCCCAGTTTTCAAAAGAAGCTCTTTTAGAGTGCGAGGGAGCAAGGATAGAAATTCTCAATCCAGAAACTAAGCAAGACACATGGAAAGGGAGAGAAAGGCTTGGTGAGTCAAATGCTGTTTCTGCAAGAGGAGGAGAGATTGTTCTTATCCAGCTGAGGGGAGATGGGATAGGGAGTTGGGTGGCTATCTTGATAAAATGCCCCTTACGGTAGAAGGGCTTAGACTGGGAAGAGAGCCCTTCTTCATGTCTAGCTGAGTCCCTCTTTTTCCTCACCTGCACCTTCCTTCCCAGACCAACCTTGCTCGTTCTGAGGATGACTGAATTGCCCAGCACAAGGAGCCAAACTCACAGCAGGGAATTCATATGGGGAACCTAGTCACTGAGAGGTAGGGGAAGAAGACCCAAAGAGGAGTCACTAAAAGAGACAGGCCTTCAGGGCCATCATCAAGGGCTAAAAGGAGCTGTTGCTTTCTCCATCCACCTACCTCCTTCCATCTGCTTTTTCTTTCTCCTTGATTAATGTAAAGTCTGCTCATCAGCTAATACTCTTTCCATCCCCTGCATGTGCATTGACGCCTTGTAAGAGATTGTGGGACGGACAGGGGGATACCATGGAAATCAACAGAAGTAATTTGAATGACGAGCATCTTCCCTCTTTGAAAGTGGAAATATTGATATGGGGCTCCCTTCTCTAGCCTTGCGGGACTTGGCAGAGCCCCTCGGCAGAGATCTAGCCCAGGGATCCAGATGGAGAGAGGGACAACCCTGTTCTTGAGAAGGGTGAAACAATTCAGGTGTAAGCAGCTCTTCTTTCTGTGCCCCTGGCTAACCTATCCAGATGTTGTCCCCTGCTCACTCTGAAGCCTTGGTACAGTCCTTAAGGAACCCAAGTTCAAGAGAAGAGGGGTGCATCCTAGTTACCTGGACTCACGGCCTCCCTTACCCTCAAGGATAGCCTGTAGGGAAGGAATGTGCTGGCTATTCTCAATTCAAGCTGTGAAGGGTGGGTGGAAGCGCCTACTAAGACTAAAAAGCAGTTCCTTTCTTGAAGTTCTCCAGATACTGGGGTCTCCGGCCTGCATGGCCAGGAGTGACTGAGTGGGTGGGCCATTGTATTATATGGTTTCCTCACCATCTTTTGTCTTACCCCAAACCCCTGTAGCCTGTTCGACTGGCTCCTGAGAGAGAATTCATCAAGTCCCTGATGGCGATCGGCAAGCGGCTGGCCACACTCCCTACCAAAGAGCAGAAAACACAGAGGCTGATCTCAGAGCTCTCCCTGCTCAACCATAAGCTCCCTGCCCGAGTCTGGCTGCCCACTGCTGGCTTTGACCACCACGTGGTCCGTGTACCCCACACACAGGCTGTTGTCCTCAACTCCAAGGACAAGGTAGATGGGTTCTGGCCCAAACCCCTACCCTGGATGTGACTCTTCACCCATGGTTGTTCAGGGTTTGTGTGTATGACCAGTGATGCCCCCACCAACATCCTAGTCTCCCTTCATAGTTCATGATGCATATGTCGACCATGACTGTCTCAGTGCGATTGTGATTTTGAGAGCCCTCCTGTATCCTTTTTTGGGCTTTGTTTTTCTGGACCAAAGAAACCTAATCTTTTTAGCTTCCTTCTTGCTGTATCTTAGGAGAATTGCTCTTTACCACACCTTATGGTCATTTTGGTAGCTCTTCTCCAGCCCTTCTATAACTCTTGAACTTTCCAGATACAGCAACCATAAGCATAGAGAAATATTTTGTTTCTAAGACCTTTTCTGAGCAGAGTGAGCAGACAGAAAGAGAGAAGGATGCCCAACTCACATTGGAGAGAATTAGCTGAATGTGTATGCTGACTGGAATATTCATGGTTCAGATTCTTCTTCTTTTTTGTTTGAGATGGAGTCTTACTCTGTCACTGAGGCTGGAGTGCAATGGCACAATCTTGGCTTACTGCAACCTCTGTCGCCTAGGTTCAAGTGATTCTCCTGCCTCAGCCTCCTGAGTAGCTGGGATTACAGGCACCTGCCACCGCGCCTGGCTACTTTTTGTAGTTTTAGTAGAGACGGGGTTTCACCATCTTGGCGAGGCTGGTCTGGAACTCCTGACCTCATGATCCACCCTCCTCGTCTTCCCAAAGTGCTGGGATTACGGGCATGAGCCACCGCGCCTGGCCCATATTTTTCTTTCAAAGGAAATATTGAAGTTTGGGATGCTCCTTGGGACAGTACCCAGCTTTGTCCCAGTCTTTTTGTCCACTGTAGCTCCCTGGGCCCTGTCTTCAGGACAAGCCCACAGAGGCATCTAGGCCTTCCTTACAGGCTGTAATTGATAGTCTAGAGTGGTTTGGCCCAAATGCATCATCTGTACATTTTGGAGCTCAGTTGTTCATAGTTTCAGGGGACTACTGAATGAAGGCTAGAGCTAGGAGAAAGGACAGCAGGAAGAACCTTGCTAACGGAGTTGAGATTTGGGGGTGAATGGTGGAAGTAAGTTGCAAATACTGTTCTCACTCTTCCCCCAGGCTCCCTACCTGATTTATGTGGAAGTCCTTGAATGTGAAAACTTTGACACCACCAGTGTCCCTGCCCGAATCCCTGAGAACCGAATTCGGAGTACGAGGTCCGTAGAGAACTTGCCCGAATGTGGTATTACCCATGAGCAGCGAGCTGGCAGCTTCAGCACTGTGCCTAACTATGACAACGATGATGAGGCCTGGTCGGTGGATGACATAGGCGAGCTGCAAGTGGAGGTGAGGAAGCTTCAAGGAGGTAACGCTGGGGCACAGGAGCTTTCTCCAGGAGCTGTCACTATATTGGAAACAAGGCAGCATATCCCAAGGCAGGGTAAGGCAAGTACCCAGATGAGTGGTGTAGGTAGTGAGAGGTAAGAGGGAGAAAGCTCTGAACAACTCTAGTCTGGAATAGATTCAGGTGGAGCTCGTTTTCCTGGTGAAAGAATTCAGATTTAAATGTAAAGAGGAACTTCTAGGCCAAGGGGAGTGAGGGAAATTTAATGAAAATATTTATTGAACACCTGTATAAAATTGTCATAGAATAACAGAGGATGAGAAATCATACATTAATTCATTCAAGAAATATTTATTGAGGGCTTTCTATGTGCCAGACCTGAGTGCTGTGTGCTAGTGAACAATACTTGGCCCCTGCCTACAAGGGGTTTATGACCTAACTGGAAAGAGAACAAGGCCAGTAAGCAAGTAGTTGTGTGGTGAGAGCCAGGTCATGGTGGAAAGGATAGGACATTATAGGAGCACCAGACTTAGGGTAGGCATCACAAGAGATTTCCTGGAGGAAGTAATCTCTCAGCTAAGGCTGGAAGCATGGGTAGGAATTAGCTGGACAAAGACTGCTGGACAGAGGGAACACTGCGTGCAAAGGCCAGAAGACAAGAGGGAGCTTGGGCCAGTATAGGAACTGAAAGAAATTTTGTCTGGCTGTGATGTGCAGGTGTGGGGTAAGAAGTGGTGAAGAATAAGACTGGACACGTGGGCATGGACCAGGCTACAGGAAGGACCCTATAAGCTGGGGAAAGAAACTTGGACTTTATTCTGGGGCATGAAGAGCCAGAGCAGAATTTTATGTAGAGCTATTAACACAGCTGGCCAGGCGCGCTGGCTCACACCTGTAATCACAACACTTTGGGAGGCCGAGGTGGGTGGATCGCTTGAGGTCAGGATTTCAAGACCAGCCTGGCCAACAAAGTGAAACTCCATCTCTACTAAAAATAGAAAAATTATGCTGGGTATAGTGGCGCACGCCTGTAATCCCAGCACTTTGGGAGGACGAGACGAGTGGATCACCTGAGGTCAGGAGTTCGAGACCAGTGTGGCCAACATGGTGAAACCCCGTCTCCACTAAAAATACAAAAATTAGCCAGGCGTGGTGGCATGTGCCTGTAATCCCAGCTAATCGGGAGGCTGAGGCAGTAGAATTGCTTGAACCCAGAAGGCAGAGGTTGCAGTGAACCAAGATCACGCCACTGCACTTCAGCCTGGGTGACAAGCAAAACTCCATCTCAAAAGAAAAAAAAAAAAAGGCCGGGTGTGGTGGAGCATACCTGTAATCCCAGCTACTTGGGAGGCTGAAGCACAAGAATCACTTGAATCTGGGTAGCGGAGGCTGCAGGGAGCCGAGATCACAGCATTGCTCTCCAAACTGGCCGACAGAGTGAGACCCTGTCTTAAAACAAAACAAACCAAAAACACAGCCAGGGTCAGGTGTGGTGGCTCACACCTGTGATTCCAGCACTTTGGGAGGCTAAGGTGGGCGGATCACCTGAGGTCAGGAGTTCAAGACCATCCTGGCTAACATGGTGAAACCCCGTCTCTACTAAAAAAAAAAACAAAAAACAAAAAACTAGCCGGGCGAGGTGCAGGCACCTATAGTC